GCGTTCCTAAATCAGACTCTGGTCCTAGAATACGATCACGGACCGTGGAGTTTCGGATCCTCCGGTGCCAACCTATGCCCGCAAAACACGCAAGCAACGATGATCCGAACACCTGAAGACGTTCGAGATCTTCTACTCGAAGGGTCCAGGTCTCACAGCTGTAGAGAAGAACGGCTCTTACTGTGGTCCTGTACACCCGTTCCTTAAGTTTAAGAGAAATCCCTTTGTGACGCCAAAGATGTCTCAAGTCACGGAAGGTTGCTCTGGCCTTTGCGATTCTCGCATCTATTTCACACTTCAGGTTTTCCTCTAAGCTCACGCAACTTCCCAAGTAAGTGAAGTGATCCACCACACTCAATTCCTCGTTTCCCAGCACAAGGGGCGATGCTAGTGCATCAATATTCTGAAGTAACACTTTACATTTTTGCGTATTATACCCTCCTTTGGGATGCAATTCGCTCCCTCCGGACCCTGGACAACCTAACTGAGCGGCATCCTGTGATTCAAAAAGAAGAACGATGTTGTTGGCATAATCTAAATCAAGAACTGTGTCTCCAGAAGAAATCCAGACACCCGAGAATGGCGAATCTTTCCTGCACTCCTCCATGATTGTATCTATTACGAAGTTGAAGAGGAATGGGGAGAGTGGGCATCCTTGCCTCACTCCGCTCATGGTTGTAAAACTAGGCGACAGCACGTTGTACACCCTCACTCGGGCCACCGTTTGTCCATACAGGGCCCGTATGATATTCACGTATTTGCATGGCATTCCTTTTTGCAGTAGTGTCGCAAAAAGGGCCTGTCTATCTACCGAGTCAAATGCTCCCATGAAGTCCAAGAATACGGCGATGGTCGGTTGTCTGTACGCCTGTCTCTGCTGTAGGATCTGTCGAAGGGTGAAGATGTGGTCAATGCAGCCCCTACCGGGTCTGAATCCCTCTTGCTCCTCTCTTATACCCTTTTCTCTATCTGGGGTGAGTCGGCGCAGTAAAAGAGCGGCTAACAGCCTGCTTATAACTGGTGTAAGGCTAATGCCCCGGTGGTTGGCACAATCACCACACGTGCCTTTCTTGTACACTGGGATGATAATCGAGTCACCCTATGCTTCCGGAACGCTTTCCTCCTCCCAGATTACCTTGAACAAGCGCACGAGTTCTGGGGTTAAGACGCCCAGACCATCTTTAAAAAGAGCTGGGGATACCTCGTCGGGTCCGGCAGCCTTGAAGCGCTTCATAGAGTTGATGCAGCTTACAATTTCTTCCTCAGTGGGCGGTTCTAAATTGGTGGTCCAGACATCTTGGCCAAGCGTGAGCACCCCGCTAAACTGATCTTTAAAGTGTTCCGCCCAGCGCTCCAGACGGCCATCACTAACAGAGGCCGAGACTGTCTGTGAGAAGAACGGTACTCTTCTCACCCCACGCTTTCTGGGTCCCGTGGATCAGATCAGCTGGAATAATCTGCAAAAGTTACCGCTATTGTTGGCGTTTTCCATGTCTTGCGCTTTTTGAGACCACCAAGCTTCTCGATCATCCCGAAGGCTGTGCTTAAGTTCCCTACCGATCATACGTTGGGTAGCATTATGTTCTGAACCTGCAGGAATCCGGCATCTACGTTCTAGAATCTCAAGAGAGCGCCGAGAGATCCAGTGGTTCCCATTATCATTAGATGGTTTACCACATACTTCTGCACATGCTTGTTGCATAGCAGTGGAAATCCTTGTCCAAAGTTGTTCGGCGGTATCGTGAGCAGCAGGTACGAGCACACTTGCTAGTTGACGTTGGTATCGTTGCTTCGTGTCTGGGTCGGACAGCTTATCTGTTGCCAGTCGCTGGGGCTTGCGGAGCTGTCTTCCCCGGAACCTAAAGGTAAGACGACAACGGACAATAGCATGATCGGAGTCCACATAGGTGCTCCAGTAAGAGCGGCAATCTTGCACGCTTCCCTTCCACCTGGCGCTAATAGCCATATGATTGAGTTGCAGCCAGGATTGATCAATTGCTGGAGGTCACCAGGTTGTGCACTGACTTTTCTTGTGTCTGAACGCAGTACTACTGAGGAAGAGTCGGTGTTCAGAGCACAGATGAAGAAGGCGTTCACTATTATCGGTGCGCTGTCCCTCAAGACCATATCTCCCTCCAAATTGTGTTTCGGACAAACCAAGACGGTCTAATTGAGCATTCATGTCTCCCGAGAAAATGACAACATCTGAATTCTTAGCTCGACGGAGAAGAGTACTTAGCTCTGCGTAGAAGGTATCCTTGGCACTGTCACAGCTGCCATTCGTGGGTGCATATGCAGCAACCACGAATAGGCATCTCTTAGTTGAACACTTAGAGCTGATACCAATCTCAGTCTTCAGGCGGATTGTGCATAGGCAGCTACTGATAGGGATCCAGTCTAACAGGGTCGCTTCGGCTCTAGAGTTGAGTACGACTCCGACTCCTGTCTGACCAACAGCTTCGGCCGTAGGATCTCCGGAGCAATGGAGGTAGTAACGTTGGGTTAGTGAGGGAGCAGTGAGTTCTACAACCGTGCTAGAGTCGTAAAGTCGTGTCTCACAAATACAGCAAACGGCTATTGCGAGAGAATCTAGCGTACGGGCTAACGCAGCTTGCTGTCCCATTTGCTTCAGTGTTCGGACGTTGAAGGCACCTATATTTAGTGAGGAGCGAGGTCTTATCGGTGGAGTTGGTTGCATCACACTCTTAGAGGTTATGGTCGTGGAAGCAGGCTCAGTATGGTCGACCTTAGAGCTGGGAGCTGGATGTAGCGTTTTTGGAAGAGTTCATGATTGTGTGTGGGCTGGGATACTGCCAGGTCGCCCAGGCCTAGACAGGAGAACAATTAGGGTCCTCAGCCAAAGCCTTTGGCTAAAAAGCCTAACCCGCAAGGCAGTGGGATGAGACTGAGTTGGTCTGACCTCTATCCATCGACCTGCCGGGTATGAGTGGCTCTACTGGTATTCGCGGGAACACCATAAATGTCTAATGAACAAAAATTTAGTTTTTTGAACAAATGGCTGACTGTTATTTTGTGCCTTTAAATTATTATGTAGATATGTTGCTATAATGATAATTATTACATCACAGGATTGTTTTTCCTAAGTTAAAAAAAACATTTAACCATTGCGATATAACACAATTTGAACTGTTTGAAATATGATCCTTAAAATGAGGTAGAATTTACTGTGGTTGATTAGACAGTTCTCATATAATTAAAACAAGTGTTATCTTAAAAACACCGATAGATTAACTCAATTACCTATGAGCTTAGATTATTTCAACTGTCACAAAATAACCGATCAATCAAAATAACAATTAAATCAATTAATTGAAATTGTGTTTCTGACTATTCCAATTATCCAACTAATCAAAATATTGCAATTATTATTCAAAATTATTTTTGATTAATCAAAGGTTATGCAGTTTAATCAATTAGTGCCACTATACATAAAAATAGTCAGTTAATCAACATTAGGGATTCTCATTATTATTATTATTTTCGATTATTCCAATTATCCAAGTCTCATGTGAAAATAAATTAGTTAATTGCAATAAATTAATGAACCCAGAACTCTATTACCAAATTACATTAATCACCCGGCATTAATTTTAAATTAATTACCTGCAATACTTTTATCAGCATAAAGAAAGTACACTGTAGTTTAATGGTTAGACTAACTATTAATAAAGCAACCACATTAGTTTTACAAAGACCTTTCTAAAATGCAATCTGTACCTCAAACAGTTTAACAAGCTACTTGAACTTTACTAACTGATGATTTTTACTGATTGTGAGAGTAAATACCATGTATTCTCATAGCATTACCAGTTTACCTATACATTAATAATAGAAAGATTTTTTGTATTCATTAAACACATTAACACACAATCTTTCATTCATTGTTCTTTGCTATAATGAGATACTTAGGTTGAAATTTCAGTTCCTCTGCTTCAATTAATACATGTTTTAGTATATTACATTCAAACAACTCACAGTTGCTATAATATTCACATAACACTAACACAACTAGAGGCCATAACATATATGTTTGAAGGGACCAAGTTAATGAAATTATTGAATGCTAAATGACAAAGTGACTTGATTAGACTTACAAATAAACCTACAATAGACTCAAGTATTGAATTCTTATCAAACTACTTAATTACCACTATTTTTTTCTAAATCAGCCTACAAAGAAAACATTCTGCATAGACACTAATATTAACTTTGGAACAGGGCAAGCTACTTACTTAGACCAAAACTAAAAGTCAACCTGTTAATGTGAATAGCTATATAAATAAACTATTCTTGCTTACGAAGATTAGAATTCACAGTTGAGTACCATTGCTGTTATAAATATTTTTAGCTGTAAACCTAGATCAAGGTTTAGACAACTAAGGAGATTTATCCTAAACCCACATACACTAAGCTAACAATTCAAAATAATCTTTATAATCAAGATATAACAATAAAAAATTGAGCATAATACAAATAAACATATTAAATAATCTAACCAATGTTACTGTTAATGAAACTAAAAATAAAGATATAATAGAGCATACCTTTCTTATGAAACACACACTAGCTGTTGCTTCATGTACTGCCATACAAATTTCGATTTTTCTGTTTCATTTAACTGTTTACTTATAACATTATTCAATTTCCATCCACAAACATAATTTTTAATTTCATAATTTATGTAACATGGATATCACATTATCAGTGGTCTTGGTAGCACTTAATAAGTTAATGACAATGTCCAGTGTAATTAGTAGTAATACCAACAAACTACAGTTTTTGTAAGCAGAAATACATTATTTACAAATTTAGTGTAACACTAACAGTAGCGTACGTATAACGAATTCTATACTTGTCACTGAGTAATGCGCTAAATAAATATAAGCATGGTCCTACTTAAACTGCAGCTAAGCCTAACGTTTATTTTACAAACAGCCAGGCATAACCGGCAGAACAGCAAATCACTAATCTAGTACACAATTAACCATCACACACGACATCGGCATAGCCAGAGAACTTCAGAAGCCAGGCATATTAAACAAGGCATAAACACATCACTGCATCAGCTCTATGCCAAAATAACACGAAATACAGTATACCAGAGAACCAAAGTTAATCTTATTATTCGTACGGAAGTACACTACAGAAGAACAAGTTTACAATATAATAATTAGGTTCCTTCTAAAGATACAAAAAAGAAAAAAAAAGGTTTAACCTAATATCAACCATTTCCAAACTGTAAAATAAACATCGCCCTCTTCCGAATAAAGTTAAAAGCTGCACAAAGTGATAAGAAAAAAAAATTGAAATTTTAGTGTTGGTAAAGCACAATGGAGAGTTTTTGACATGCGTAAATATACATCAGAAAATGAATCTTATTTTTTGATTCACTTTAGTTTTTTTTTCATGTTTCAATGGCGTTATTCTGTTTCGGCAAAATTAAAAACACTAGACATACACATGTTAAAAGTTTTGCGTCAAGCAGAGGTTTACCAATCAACTTTGTTTGTTTGAGAAACGATCCATTATGTCATCTGGGCCTTCCCATGGAGAAGAGAACTTATGAGACTTCCCTTTGGTCTTCCTGGAATTATACAACCACACCTTGTCTCCTGGTACAAAGCTGACTTCAGTAGATCTCTTATCATAACATAGCTTCAAGGAATCCGCTGACGTTTTGAAGTTCGAACGCACTTAATGGTGAATATCATCCATCCTTTCAGATAACACTTTCACAAACTCTGGCACATTTTCAGGCAACTTTTCGTAAGGTGGGCGTCTTATTATCAGGTCCACTGGCAACCGAAGTTTCCGACAAAACATCAGCTTCATGCTATGCTGTTCTATAGGCCATCAACAGTGGAGGGAGTAAGACATCCTCGTCATTTGGACGGCTATTACAAAACTTTGCCAATTCCTGTCCCAGTATCCAATTGTACTTTTCTACCATCCCATCAGACTGTGGGTGAAGTGGCGTTGTCCTGGTCTTTCGGATGCCAAACAGCTTGCAGCATTCATGTAACACAGCTGATTCAAAGTTACGACCTTGATTTGAATGCAGTTCGTATGGCATACCAAACCTGAAGAATAAATCACCAATAGCCAAAGCTACAGTTGCAGCTTCCTGACTTGGTATTGCATATGCCGCAGGCCATTTGTTGAAATAATCCATCACCACACAAATGTACCTGTTTCCACCATGAGTTTGGGACAGAGGAACAGCAATGTCGACGGCTACTCTTTCCATTGGTGCACCAACTTGATATAACTTCATTCGAGCATGTGCATTATGCTTGGGTCCCCTTTTAGCACAACATGTGCTGCAGGTCCTGCACCATTCTTCCATATCTTGTCTCATACCTATCCAGTAAAATCTCTGCCGTAGGCGACTAAATGTCTTCTTAACTCCAAGATTTCCTCTTGTTAAACTACCGAAGAAGATACGTCCCGTAAAATTAAGAGACTTTGTTGAATTGTAATTTTGTGTTTGTAATTCTGTACATTTAATTAAGTTATTGTTTATTGTTTAATGTAAGTGGCTATTGTTCGGGACGAACAATGCTAAGGAGGGGCAGTGTTGCGTCAGCGAGGTCACGTGACTAGTATCACGCCATCTGTTTTCTAGAAATATTCTGTTCCTTCGTGAATTCCCTAGCATTTACTAGATTGGGGGTTGACTGGTATAAATAGGATGGTCACAACGTGACGGGACAATGTGTGTAGGTAATGAGTAATTGAACTGCAGTCAGAGAGTGTGTAATTGAACGGAGTATTGTTGAAGTCGAGCTCGTGAGTTATAGCGTTTGTTATAGAGCGACTGTTGAAATTAAGTGTATCATAAAGTTGTATTCGGAAAGAATAAACCAGTTTTATTTAAGAAAGGACTTGTGTCGCTAAAGTTTCGTCGGAACGAAGTTACGGAAAATTAACTAACGAACGGAGACGTAACAACACTGGTCTCCGTCTCGTTGGCTTCTGCTTCATATGGGGTTCATCTGCTTCATCAGGAAATGTCCTATCGTCGATAACAGTCACATCAGTGGTAGTAACTTCATCAAGAGCTTCACCGTTTCCCTTCTCAAAACTGAGTAGAGTTTCTTCTTCGATGGTGGCTTCTTCAGGTGGCACGTCTTCAGCAGCGTCATTTGTTCTGTTCTCCACTTCGTTCCAACTGAAATGTCCTGGACCGTGATAATGCCAAAGCCTGTTGGCATGCACCACTTTTGGTTTACCTCGCCGACCACATTTTACCCGGAAAGTCACGTCTGAGAGACGATCCACTATGTCATATGGGCCTTCCCATGGAGAAGATAACTTAGGAGACTTCCCTTTGGTCTTCCTAAGATTATACAACCACACCTTGTCTCCTGGTTCAAGGCTGACTTCAGTAGATCTCTTATCATAAGATAGCTTCATCGAATCAGCAGAAGTTTTCAAGTTTGAATGCACTTGATGGTGAATATCATCCATCCTTTCCGATAACACTTTCACAAACACTGACACATTCTCAGGCAACTCTT